GGTATCTCTGCTTGATTTGAGGTTACATACAAGTTACCTCCATTTGAGGTACACTTGCCAAGCCCAATCTTTTTCAAAGGGATGATAATACTTTAATCTCCATTTACAGCCTGAAACACAGCTGTGCGGGTCAGCGTTTCCGATTTTTGTTTTTCTTTTATGCTTTCAGGATAAGTAGATTGCAGCAAGGTCAGTTGTTCTACCTCACACCTTCCAGGGCCCAGCTGAGATAAGAAGTTCAATAAAGCTTGTGACCACATTGTGGTTCCTTTGCCAAGTCTTTGATGATAATGGCTACATCTGTTTTTGATTGTGGAGTGTAATGGTGCCCGGTGTGGAGCCTTGTCATTTCCCCTGTGTTCAGGGCTTGATATGTACCTAGAAGTGCAAACAGAGGGCGAGACCTGTACCTTCATGGGAGAGAGCCCAGGCGGTTTTGGAAAGCACATTAATCCAGACTTTTGTGAGCCACAGTTATGACACAGCTTCGGACTTCAATCAGATTTACCTTTTTATCTCATTTCTTTTACAAGCACGGCTGAGCCATTTTTCAGCTCCTATAACAATAAAAGATATACTGCAACATCCCAGGTTTAAGACCCGTTGAAACAACCTTTACATATTCATATAAAAATACACATGCTACGTCTATGGTTAAAGTTGACTACTTTCCATTATAAAACCCGGGTTTCAGTTGCTTATAGCTTTGCCCAAAAGTAACCATTTTGACTTGGGAAATAATCAGGAAGGTGTCTGGGTCTCATTTTGGTAAACGTCTGCTTTTTCAGAGAATGATGTAGGGGAAAGATGTCATTTTGATCATGTTAAGAAGGTCGAGAACAGTGATCTCCAGTCTCCAATGACTAATAGGCAATGACACCGAACAACAATTCTGCATGTCCCGTAGGTGACTCTGCTCCCCATATTCACCTCAGGTTTTGAGTTTTTAATTTCTTGGGGGGCCACACAACATATGGGAGCCTCCTAGACCACCTGTGGGTAGTCTATCTAGCACTGCACCAATGTGTCTGTTCTGAAATATGAAATGTAGGTTGGTTCAGTCAATGATCAAAGAGATTATGGAGACTTGCGACACAAGAATTACCCTTGTGGTAGGGAGGTTCTGATTCCTAAGAAAATCCACCCAAACTCAGTCAAATTATAAATCTCCAAAAATCAGAGTTTGGTAGAAGTGTCTTAGAGACTGGTAACATTATTCTCCAGAGGTCCTGTGTTACCCATAGCTCATCCCAACATGGGCTCTGTGTAGAAATACATTTTAACCTGTTAAACATTTATTTTTAACTCTCTGAAATCTTTCCTCTGGTTCCTGCTGGTTTGGTAACCAGTCACACTAGGAGACATTGTTCTGCAGCATCAGATAACACAAATCATGTTGCAATTCATGGTGTTTGTGATTATTACCAGTTAAACATCAACACATGCCAACACTTACCACCATTACTTCCAATATACATAAACAAGTACTGTTGCTGCCATGATGGCCCAGGGATAGGAGAGAAGCCAGATCTGTGAGTGGACATCATATCTTTCAGTAACTTGTTTCGTTGAGAGAGATGGCAGACAAGCTTTTGGGTTTCAAATGCCCTTCATCAGGTCTGAGGAAGCAGTAGTCACAGTCCAAGCTAAGCACATGCTAAAACAATTGCCTTAGTTGGGCCTAATTATGTTAATGAAGTTGACCACTGAAAGAGAAGTGGGCAGCTTCCTTTGCCTCACAGATCATAACTTCCCCTTCCCCTTTATTTCCCAGGTATAAATGGTACATGGCACAACTAGCTAATGTTATCCATATGTAATAATAGATGATGACAATAGATCATAGAACAGACGTTATCTGTCCAGAACAACAAGGTCAATTAAAAACTTATTGAAGTGCTCAGTGATGCAATTTCCCCTCTTACCTCCCTACAGGTGCTGGCTAGCAATGCTGTTTACTACAGAAATGGGTTTACATCCAATTTAGCATTAAGATTGTACTTCAGTTTACAGGTATGGATCAGGGCTGGGGGGGGGGGGGGCCCGGGGCACTTCCTCCCCGGTTTGATTCCTGCCCCACCCAAATTTTAAACCAACT